GAATAGGGTTATGCTGAGGGACGGGTTAGCCACCAGCAGCAGCCTCTCTCAGCTGGAGCATCTGGAGTTGCTTCTCGGTCCGGATCAAGAGAATCTCCCACTTCCACTGACTTTCCTCTCACGCCTCCGCACTCTCCACATTTCACATGCTCCATGTTTGCGAAGGCTCCCAGGTAAAATAGGCTCAGCGCTGCCTCAGCTGCGCCAGCTGCATGTGGAAGGAGCGAGCTGTTTGGAGAGTGTACCAGACAGTGTGACGTGGCTGCTGCACCTCACCTCTCTTCATGTTGAAGCTCCAAAGTTGGCTCACCTTCCTGATGGGATTGGTGCCCTGTCACATTTACGGGAACTGTGCCTGCGCAAGTGCTCTGCCATTAAACACCTTCCAGATTCCTTCGGTCACCTCTCCTGCCTGCATAAGCTGGACCTTTTTAAAAAGCCGATATGCAGCATCCCTTCCAGTTTCAGTCGATTGACAAGGCTGAGGGACTTGGATTTGGTAGGATGTCACTTGTTTAGACTTCTTACGCCACAAAAGGTGATGCAGGAGCTGTTGTAGCTGAAGCTACTGCGCAGTTTGCATATCAGCTATGGTGTGTTGGATGATGAGTCCGAAAACGTTGGACAGGGCGCTGGCTGGAGAATGAGTTACGAACTGTGGTGTGAAGCTTCAGGCTAAGGCTTAAGGAGTTTCTGTAGATCATTTACGTGCAATGTCTCAGATTTTGCTGGTTTCGTTTTGAACTGATGCTGGTAGATTGTGCTTTGAATCCACCACTATCTGAATGTTGCAACATCGCTCCAAGCTGTACCCATTCGCACCTCGATCTCTGTTCAGCCACCATTTGTTAACGTATCTGCCACTAATGGGTACTGTTATTCTGCATCTCTACCAACACTCCTTGGGAAATGGGGACATAGCGTGCTCCTGGAATTGCTGAAAACCCTAAAATGGATTTCACATGTTTGGCAAGTTGGAAACATGTCTGAATGAGCTTGTGCCACCATGATTTTTTTTCTTAACTTTTTTTTCTTCTTCTTCTTCTTCTTCTCTGCAATCCCTAGCAACAAAAGACCATATGCCATACTGTTCAATCAGAACTGTAACCGCCAAACAAGTGTGAACCGTTTGGAAGATTTGAATGACAAGACCAGAAGAGAGGAGTGTCCAGCCTAAATGGCGTAAGATTATATGCATCAGATAAATGGAACGGCAAGTGAGTATCTGAATGGCATGAGACAATCCGCATGATATGAGATGGGACCGCTGGCATTTTTTTTTTTTGGATGGTATGCAATACTCTGGATGGCATGTGATGTTAAGGAAGGCATGGAGATAGGATGGATGAAGTGGGATGGACGGGATGATACAGTATGTTTGCTAAGTTCAGTATCCACTAGAGTACAATTTACAAAATACACGAGCACTTGGGTAGACAAAGGTGCAACGCATCAAATGGAGTCTACCATCCCTTCCCTGTTTGGCGCCTTGTCAATCTGTGCACTTTCTTTCCCATGCACCTAGCATTTGCATGAACTGAGACACCTGAGTACTTCCGTTGCTCCTCCCTTCCTTTCTTAAACTCACACAAACCCCTTTATTCCCTCAACTGACTTCTATAAGTTCCAGCAACACCCTCCACATTGCTCACCCCCTCTCCTCCCCCATCCTGACTATATGATCGCAAACTCCTTTCTGTGAGCAGCAATCTTCTCCCTCTCCTCATCCTCCTCCCTCCTCTCTTCTTCACCCCCATCTTTTTCTCTCTCTCACTTTCATCTCAATCACCAGACCCTTAATCCACCATCAAACATTCTCTTCAGCTGATTTCTCACTCATATTACCTCCCCTCATATGTTCACAGCACTACAGTATCTGGAAACCAGGATACAGTTTGTATGAAACTAATTAACTTTAAACAGTGGTAGGTGCTTTTTCAGTAAACTCTTGCCTCTCTCACGCCTTCATGTGCAGCTAAGGGACCTGGGATAGTGGTGTCAAAGCATCTTCTCCTGCCACACATCCATTTGCACATTTCCCTTTGCCTTGCCTCTCACACGCCTTCCTGTGCAGCCAAGGAGCCCGAGACAGTGGTGCTAAAGAAGCTACTTTTCTCATTTGCCCCTTCTACCCTTTCCTCTGACTCTTCCGCCTTTGCTTTGCCTCTCACACGTCCCCTTTGCAGCTAAGGAGCCTGAGCGAGTGGTGCCACTGCCGATTCAGCCTCTCCTGTCGCACATCTCCATTTGCCTTGCCTTTCCACATTCTTATTTGCCTCACCTCTCTCACTCTCTCCTAAGCAGCCAAGTTGCCTGAGCCAGTGGTGACTTTGATTCAACCCAAGAGCCCGACCACGTGGCGCCGAAGCAGTGCACAACATCAACACAACACCGGAGGGTGCTTGCTTCTTGCTATTTATCTATTTTTAACGGACTTCGCCCCACATCCATAATCATGCTGCTACCTTGAACATTTTAACGTTTCTGCGGTTGCCCATTGGTGGCTTCTGCCATGTCGATAACATCCCCATTGGTTGCTTATTTGCTGTATCTCTCCCCTCTTGCACATGTTTCTGGCCTGCTCTTCATGTCTCTCATGCTTCCTCATGTGTCCCACATGACCCCCTGCAGGCTCACCAGCATCTGCAGCCGCTAATGCGAGGAACAGGCTGATGGAACGAGGAGAGAAGATCAGTGTACGTTCTCTCATGCATACTATCTCATGCCAGCTGTCTCATGTCATTCATTCAACTTCATGCCACCCATCCCTATCTCATGCCATCCATACACCGTACTTCCTCATGCCTGAAGCAACTCCATTGCCTATTCCAGCCCCTCTATCGCTTCTGTTTTTTTCCCACTATTCCATTCACTTCCAAATTTCTTTTCTCGCATATCACATCATCCAATTTTCACTCATGTCTGACTGCACCACATGCATGGCAGAAACTGAATGACATGGAGGACAAGCTAGAGACGGATACAGATGAGTTCAGTGACTTGGCAGCACAGCTAAAAAATAATGGAAAATATGTGGTGGTGGTGACTTAGCATATATGAAATTGGTCCTTACGCCTCTACTGTTGTGTTAGAAGCGTTGCGTTATACGAGGAGCTGTCCATCAAAGGGCAATGTAACCCTCGTTATGTTAATTCAAAACACATCTCCAAACATTTTATTATTGCTACTTTCAGACGCCCTACATTAGGGCGTCACTGTCAGAGCTTGACACTTCCTGCTTGTACAGAAGCATTGTTGAGGAAGTACACTTCTTTAAAGGTAACGTGAACACCCTAATGTTGCATTTCAAATCACTGCGCTGTATGATGAAGTGGAACATAGCGGAAAGTTAGTAAAGGGTACGTTCTGAAGTATAGCCCCAGCAAGAACAACAGGAGGTCGAAGCTCTCGGTTGGCTGGCGAGACGAACGGCGACGTGATGGGTTGAACTTCGTGAAGGTGAAAGCGGAGAGCGGATGGAGAGGGATGGGATGGTGGAATTTCACTCCCACGAAGATATGACAATTGTGAGATGAGACATGCTCCATGTTTGTGCTTTCCTTCCCTCTGCGTGTCAATATGACAACTGTGAGGCATCCTACATTGCATGGTGGTATTTTGCTCCTGCGTAAATCTGGCAGCCATGACGATAGGAAGCTCCAGTCTGGTCGAGCCCTACGTTTCAACTTCGCTTTGTTTGCCAAGATCTCTGCAGTATAACTGGCATGGCTCTCATCTAGTAAATCTGACTGCTGTTATCTTGCTTGTCGAACCAGTAGCATCCTCTCCTAAGGTTGTCTAACAAAGGTTGTGCTTCCCCAACTTAGTGTTCGTTGTGAAATAAACGTCGCAGGAGCCAGAGCTTAGCACGTCAATCGTACAAGGACATGAGTGCTGCGACGAGCATCTGCTGTCTCCCTGATGAAGTTTTCATCAGGATCTTCTGGCGTTCAGACCCATTCCGGTCAGCCTCGTCATGATCTCTCTCGCGTTATGCTAGTACCGGCGAAAATGTAGATCCAGTACCTGATCCGCATGTCTCGATGCCTCTTGCCTCTACCAATGTCTCACACGTTCTCCTCATCGCCTCCCTCTGCCGTCGCTGGCGGGAACTCGCACACGAATCCGTCACAGCGCTTCAGGTGCTACAAAATCGTTTCTTGTCTCGCCGGGATCTCAAACGCTTTTTGGCGTCCTTCCCGAATCTCACTCGCCTGCACCTAAGCGATGGGAGCATGGAAACGATCGACGACGATTTCCTGGCATTTCCCGGCTCGTCCTTTCAAAACCTAACCGCTCTTCATGTCGGCGAACGCATTGCTCCAAAGGATAACGAAGTGTATGACGGAGAGGAGATGGAAGTCTTCATCGATGTCGCATTAGGATACCCCGTCACGCCAGCCGGCCTGGATAATCTCTTCCGCCGATGTCGCCGCTTGGAGCAGCTGTCACTCCAGTGCCTCCATCAGGCAACGAAGCTTCCGCTCTCGTTCTTGCAGCTGACGCGCCTACACACTCTGTCCCTCGGGGAAATGTCGCCTTTGAAGGACCCTAACTTCGCCAATCTGTCTTCGCTCATGAATTTTTCAATTCAGAAACGGGGCATGCGGTTACATCAGCTGTCGCCGTTAACTAGCCTTTCAAACTTGACCAGCCTGTTTTTTCCAGGAAGGACATGGTTCCGCGAGTTCATCGGAGATTTCTCATTTGCTCAACTGACAACTCTTGAGTCGCTGGGATTTGTGCGGGCGCCAACAAACTTCCATTCCATGTTTCCGTCAGCCGTACCGTGTTTCCGTCTTCAGCGTCTCCTGCTAGCCCATGTTCGAAACATCCCGCCTGAGGACCTTGGTGCGCAGTTCCCGGCGCTTTGCGAACTCTGCATTTCAGAGAGCCGTTTTTTGACTGAGCTGCCAGATTCCATCACAAGCATCAGCACCTTGGAGATTCTAACTATTTCCAACTGCGGTTTAGACAGCCTGCCTGAGAAGTTTGGAAATATGTCACGGCTGACGTCCTTAGTGTTGAGTATGTTGCCACTGGAGAAACTCCCTGATTCTATTGGGTTGCTCACAGGGCTTCAGAAGCTGTTCATTGACTGTATGTTCACTGACATCGTCCCTGCAGCAATCTCTTCCTTGTCTGCCCTTGAATTGTTGACCATCAGGCGATCAAGGCTGCCGAACCCAGAGGAGATAGGCAAGCTGACCAATCTCCACACTTTGGTGCTGAGTAGCTGTGCCGATCTGCAGCAGCTGCCGCCGTCACTCGGTCGTCTCTCCTCTCTAACACGGTTGAGTATCACCAATTGTCCCATCGTTAGCCTTCCAGAGGGTACAGGCCAGCTGGGTGGCCTGCGAGAGCTGACCTTGAGCAGGTGCAAGGAGTTGACAGAGCTGCCGGAATCCATCACTCAGGTGAGCCGCCTAGAGAATCTCAAAGTCCGCATGTGCATCAAGCTCGCTTCTGCACCCCGAGTCATGGAAAACCTTTTATGCCTGAAGGAGCTGGATCTGACTGGGTGTGTTCTCTTAACGGAGACTCTACAATCCTTGCCTAGGTCTCTGGAGACCTTGAGGTTGGGGAATGACACCAGCAGCATCATTCTTCCTGACATGTCAACGGCTCCGAATCTCAAAAAGCTGAAGCTGATTAATGTCACTTTCATGGACGCACCAGCAACCACCCGTAGCCTTTCTGGGATCAAGCAACTGGAGATGCAGCTGGGCGCTGAACAAGCAGAGATTCCTCTCCTGCTCGGGTTCCTATCATGCCTCCGTGACCTGCGCATCTCGAACGCCAAGTCCCTGCAACACCTGCCTCATGACATCGGATCCCTTCCTCAGTTGCGGCAGATGCGTTTGGAAGGAGAAGAATCTTTGCAAGAGATTCCAGAAAGTGTGGCTGAGCTTGTTCAACTCAGGTCTCTCCAGGTCGAAGCTCCAAATCTGACCCACCTTCCCGAGACCCTCTCTTCCTTATTAAGTTTGGTGACCTCAGCCTACGGAATTGCTCCTCCCTCACAGCCGTGCCCTGTTCTTTCACCGCCCTCACCTACCTGCACAAATTGGACCTCAGCAGGACACCACTTCACGTCCTCCCTCCCAACTTCCACCGCTGGGGGAGACTCAGAGAGCTGGACCTGCGTGACTGTGAGCAGCTTCAGTTTCTGCCGCAAGACCTTTGTTGCTTGACGATGCTGCGAGATCTCCACCTCCGTGGCTGCAAGATGCTTGGCTCAGATCCGGTGTTAGATGACTAGGTCGTCAAACCAGCAGCTGGGATGTCTAGGTTGTTTTGGTGTGCAGATTTGTATGGTAGTAATGTACTAGGTAGGCATGAGAATATGTCTTGCTGATCTTTGTAGATGTATACATGTGAGTGTTGGGGAGACAGCAAGCATTTTCACTGTTTTCATCTTCCAATTAGGATAAGTCTACTGTAGTTGTCTGATTTTGGATGCAATTCATTTCACCTGATTTGTCAGAGATCAAGTAAGTGGTACAGAAAAGTTCTCAAACCATGTTCTTATAATCTGATTTTTTTAGTCCTTCAATTAGTTGGTCTGAAAGTAAATACCGGTGCACCTGAAACTTTCTACCTGTGTTTTTTGTTTCAGATATCTCTGCCTCCACTTACAGCCCCCCACACCATCACACCCATCTCTCACATGAATCTGGTCACCCAACCACTGGCACACTTGCCACTCACCCTCTTCTCTGTATCATCTAGCATCATTCAGCCTTCCCATCGCCCTTCCCTTCCACATCCCCCCCCACCAAGACTGACATTCATGCCTGCTATCTCATGCCGCCCATCCCATCTCATAGAACACATCTCATGTGATACCATCCATCCCACAAACCTGGCCCCTCTCATGTCATCCATCCCATATCATGCGAGCCGTCCCATCTCACGCCACCCATCCCATCTCATACAATACATGTCATCTTAGCCATCCATCCAATTTTCTACAAATCTGGCCCCTCTCATGTCATCCATCCCAGAAATGCGCTCATATCATGCTAACCATACTATGTCATGTCATCCGTCCCAAACTGATGCCATCCATCCCAACACATTCCATCCAGGCCATTCCGTTTCATCCATCCGATGTCATGCTTTCAATTCATCTCACGCCATCCATTCTATTTCCGTTTCACACCTGTTCTGACTCAGATTATACATACCATCCCTTGTCATCTTATGCCATCCATAGACCCATCATATCTCATAACAGCCATTGTATTTCATGGCCATCCTACCCCATGCCATGAAAACTACAGGATCGCATCCCATGCTAAAGACTGGGTGCCTCGCTGCTCACCTGCAAGTCTTACCTGTTTGACCCCCCTTACAAGTTGCAGCCACCCGCTGATCAGCAATGTGGTGGTTCACTCATGCCTCTTACAATTCCCAACCAAATTGGCAGGATTTGTCAATATCATGTGTGTGCCTTACTCAAGCCAAGCAACATCTTTAGAAGAAAGATGTTATGTGTGTCTTACTCAAGAAACATCGTTAGAAGAAAGTCTGCAGAAATTGATGTGTGGAAGCAGCAAGTGATATGAGGAAGCAGCAAGTGATGTGTGGAAGCAGAAAGTGATGTGAGGAAGCAACAAGTGATGTGAGGAAGCAGCAAGTGATGTGAGGAAGCAGCAAGTGATGTGAGGAAGCAGCAAGTGATGTGAGGAAGCAGCAAGTGATGTGAGGAAGCAGCAAGTGATGTGAGGAAGCAGCAAGTGATGTGAGGAAGCAGCAAGTGATGTGAGGAAGCAGCAAGTGATGTGAACTCATGCCATCCAATATACATTCCATCTCATGTGACCCATCCCAGCTCAAGCAATTCTTCCCATCCAAACCATCCCATTGTACTCCAACCATACAATCTCATGCCATCCTTCCCATCCCATACCATCCCTCCCTTCTCATACCATCCATCCCATCACATTCCATCCATTCCATCTCATACCATCCATCCAATCCATGACACATCATTCATCCCTTTTCATTCCGTTCATCCTGTCTCATCCCGAACACCTCATCTCTTGCAATCCTCCATATCGCAAGCCATTCATCCCATCGATATTAAATCATGTCTTTCTTCCCATTTCATACCATCCATGCCATCGCTTTCCATCCAACCCATTTCATGCCATCCGAAGCTTTCAACGCATCCTTTCGTTTTCATCCCAACCATTTCATCTTATGGCAGCCCATCTCATCCAATCCGATTCATCTCATGCCATCCAACCCGTCCCATCTCGCGCAATCCATCCCAAATCATGCCATCCATCTCATCTCCTGCCACAATCCATTTCATCCCATGCAATCCATCCAATTAAGACACATAATATCTATCCAATCTCATGCTGCCCATCCCGTCATAAGACATCCGTCCCAACCCATCTCAGGACATACCAATGTTTTCCAACCCATCTCGTGCTATGCATCACATCTCATGCCATCCATCCCATCATGTACCATGAATTACATCTCGTGTCATTCATCCCATTGCATATGCATCCCGTCTGTTTCAATCTAGCCCATTTCCATCTCCTTCTATCCATTCCATTTCATGCCACCCATTCATTATATTTCTAGCTCAACGTAACATCGTACCATCTCATGCCATCCATCTCATCTCATGCGATCCATCCCAGCCCATGCCCTCCATGGCATCTCATAGCATCCATCCTATCTCATGCACAATTTCATCCCATCTCACGCAATACATCCTTTTGAATGCTATGCAGCCAATCAAGTGATCATGCACATCTCGTGCAATTCGTCCCGTCTCATTCCATGCAGCCGATTTCATTTCATCTATCCGATATCATGCCATTCATTTCATTTCATGCCTACCATTTTATCACATCTCATGGAACCCATCTAGGCTCATGCTACACATAACATCTTATGCCATCCCATCTTATGCCACCCATATTATCTCTTGCCATTCATCCCATCTCATGCCATCCTATCCCATTGCATGCTTTTAGGTCTCATCTCTTGCCAAGCATCCCATCTCGTGGCCTCCATTCCATCACATGTCATCATTTTCATCTCATGCCATCAATCATATCTAATGCCGTCCATGGCATCTCATGGCACCCATCCTACATCATGACATCCATCGTATTTCATGTCATCCATCCTACTCATTACCATAATACCTTCTGCCATCCACACCATCTCTTTCCATACTATATGCACTACCCCCACATGCCTGTTGTTACCCCACTAACTCACTTTTAACTCTTTGCTCCATCGCTTATGTTTTTTCTCGCTAATTACGAGTTGATTGTCCCCTTAGCTTCTGACTCTGGCCTTTTTGCACTCACCTCAGTTATTTTTATGCCATTCGGTGCTTGCATAATAGAAAATGAACAACATGGCGAATGAGCTAAAAACGAACACATTGCGTTTAGTGACTTGGTAGTACAACTAAAAAAGAAGATACAAAAGAGTTGGTGGTGATTCACTCGCTGGTTTATTTAGGCTCATGTGGCATGACAGTAGAAAGTAGTAAGGTACAGGCAATTATCTCATTTCTATGTGAGGCTTTTCTCTGTGGTAGCTTTTTACATTGTTAGATTGACTAAAGAAGCAGCACAAGGCCCACATTGCCTTTGTATTGGTGACGAGGCAAGATGCTGACGGTAGCTGTTTTGTTCGTGTCACAGAGCCTCAAGCCATCCATACCATCTGGTCCCGTCCATCCGTCGTATCATGATAGCGTCAAACCGCCTAATGCAACATATGTCAAGATAGCAAGCAGGAATGGTTGCATTGAATGAAATGTGGGTACAAGTACTAACCCTAACTTCGGGTTGTACCTCATATCAGCTACCCCACTACAGCCTACACAGAAGTAACACATATTTAGTTTGACACACCCCCATAGGCAAAGTAGGGGAGAACAAGGGGTCATAAGACCAGTCAAGAAAAACAAAGCAAAGCAAGCTCGGGGTGGATCACAACGTCACTACACACTCAAGCACAAGCAAAGGGGCCACAAGGCCAGTTCACATGCAAAGGTATATATGCAACAACAACAGTACAGTGATCACTACCTAGCAAGAGTAAACATGCAGGTATACATATATAGATCACAGTACAACCAGAGTCTACAACAAGTGAGGAAACGTAGGCACCAGGCCTAGAGCAGTGCAGAAGCGCTGATGATCACCAGCCGGAAGGGCCTTGGTGGATACATTAGCAGTGTTGTCACAGGTGGGCACGTGAGCGACACGAAGCTGACCACGCTGCTGTAACTCTTGAGCAAGGAAGTAATGCAGAGCGATGTGCTTTGTTTTGTGCTCTAGTCTGTGATTCTGACACAAGGCAATAGCAAACTTGTTGTCGACGTACAGAATTGGAGGAGAACGAGGCCTCTCTCCCAAGTCGGTCAGCAGGTAGGTAAGCCAGCGTAACTCCTGTGCAGCCATGGCTGTGGCGTAGATCCCAACCTCACAACTGGAGCTAAGAACAGAAGACGAGCGTGTAGACCGCCAAGAAACAGTGCCAGAGCCAAGACTGAAGGTGTAACCCTGTGACGACCGCTGCGTAGCCAGGTCGTCAACCCAAGAAGCGTCCGAGTGCCCAGTAAGGACAACGTCGCCCCGTCCTCCAAGCACGAGCTCCATGCCCGATATACTGCACAAGTAGCGCAGTACCCTCTTAGAAGCATCCATGTGCACCTTTCGGTGCTGACAAGGAGCCACGTAGCGAGCCAGAAGGCAAAGAGGGCACGCAAGGTCAAGACGAGTGCATGTCATCAGCTACATGAGGCAGCCCACTAGCTCTAGGTAAGGACCACTCGACTCTACGGACTCGTCCGAGGGTGGAGCTGAGAGCGAGTGACCTGTAGCCAGAGGAGTGGCCTGTGCTGAGGACCAGGTGAAGCCGAACCGCTGAAGGACCTACTGCACCATGTGTGACTGAGTCAGTAAGATGGTGCGGCGTGCTCTGTCTCGGGTGATCTGCAAGCCAAGGTAACTATGCAGCTCACCCAAGTCTGTGCACATGTGTCTCTTCTATAGCTCCGACTTCACTAGGGCGATAGCCTCAGTGTCAGCAATGGCAAAGACCAAGTCGTCAACGTACACGAGGATGTAGAGCGGCGGCAGCGAAGTGTCGGTGCGCAGAAACAGCGACGGGTCAGCAGTGGAAGGAGCAAACCCAAGAGTCGCAAGTGTCGTCCTCAGTGTGTCGTACCACCCAAGAGGCGCCTGACGGAGACCGTAGACTGGCCGATGG